CAACAGCAAGAGCAACAACAACAACAACAACAACAACAACAACAACTGCTGTTACTACTACTACTACGATGGAAACTACTATTGCTACCACTATTCTAGTATTCTGTGAGCACGGGGACGTCCTTGGCCCCCGATGATGCCTTCCAACAAGCGGCGGAAGCGCTTCGTGACGACGATAGCCTCAGATCGCCGTTCCTACGCGGTCACGCCACATTGCGCACAGTAGAAAACCGGTGTGGCATCGCTTCCAATCTCGGCAACACGCAGGGCATCGTGGCCGATGGCGTTCAGGGTATATGGCCGAGGAAAAGGTTGCGGACAGAGCAAGTGCTCCTCCACCAACTGCCCAAGCTTGCTGACCTACAGTGCGCATGTTGCTTTTGATTCTGTGCGACTCACTTCGTACCGGCCATGCCATTCCCACCATGCCCCACTCTGCGTATACGGCATTCGCAGACGTCGGCCCCAGCATTCATCCTCAGGCTTTTAGTACTACCACCACCACCACCACTTCTACTACTACTACTACTACTACTACTATTACTACTACTTTTTCTATTGCTACACTTACTTACTTACCTACTTACTTACTTACTTACTTACTTACTTACTTACTTACCTACTTATCTACTTACTTACTTATCTACTTACTAACTTATCTACTTACGTACTTACTTACTTACTTACTCACTTACTTACTTACTTATTTACTTACTACTACTACTACTACTACTACTACTACTACTACTATTGATACTATTGCTACTGCTACGGCTACTACTACTACTACTACTACTACTACTATTTCTATTACTATTACTGCTACGACTACGACGACGACGACTACTCCTCCTCCTCCTCCTCCTACTACTACTACTACTACTACTACGACTACCACTACCACTACTACCACTACCGCTACCGCTACCACTACCACTACCACTACCACTACCACTACCACTACCACTACCACTACCACTACCACTACCAGTAATACGACGACGACGACGACGACGACTACTACTGCTACTGCTGTTGCGTCTGTTTTCTACGGGCACGACGACGACCACTACTACTACCGTTGGTCGTAGTACGAAAGCAGCGGTTATTACAACCACGACAACTACCACGATCACCACCAGTACTATAGCACTACCACCACCACCGCCGCCACCACCGCCACCGCCACCGCCACCATCACTGTGGCGCGGCGACTACCATAGCGCCATTGCTACAAATAACGCCGTCGTGTCAGCTCCACTGACGCTTCGTTGACGTCTGCGTCGCCTCTCTCCCAATCGATCTGCACCTTCTGCTTGGAAATGTAGTCGTGCCTTTGCACTTCCACGGTGCTTCGACGGGAACCTCGCATGCTTGAAGCTTTGATTGATGCCTGCACCAATTTCCGGGATGAGCCTGCATCAGTGCCTTTCTTGCGTTGAATCTTGGACGGGCGGCCTTGGATGCCCTGCACAACAGCTCCACCTCTCAGCATCACGTTGCAGAGCCGTGAAGGTCGATGGACTCAGTCAGGATGGCTTTGCTGCTGTTTGGAGCGGAACTTGCAAGTGATTCCGATATCCGATAACTCGGCCTCGTGATGCAGTCGTTGATATGCCCATTCGTAACGATTTGCGTCAACAAGACAGGTTTCAGCAACGCACCGTTTCGTCAGCGAGTTGCTGAGGGTGTTAAAATAGCCACCCGAATACTCACTGTCCGTGCGCGAACGAACCGGGTCGTAGTCAGCCTTTCTCCTCAATCAGACGACAGTAGAAAGGCCGCTTCGAAGGGGTAGCCTCTCAGGCTGCGGTTTTGGTCGTTCGCACGCATCCACACGGTACCCTATGCGGGAGCCGAGTTACCTCCGCAGAGCGTGTTGTCGTCCCTACGCGACAATATTAAACACATGCTCGTATGTGTGTGTATAGAGATCGAGAGATATCGTCCACGGAGGCTTCGGCGTGGCGCGCAAATTCCGTGCAATTCGTCATACAATGAAAAACACACGGAATCCTCGCACTACTTGCTTCCCTGGCCGGAAATGCCCAAGGATCCGCACACGGAGCCAGACCCGCGCAGCGACCCGGACGTGGCGTATGAAAAACGCGATGTTGATGGGAATTGCCGATCCTCCCGCTATTGCTGCAGTCAAAGGATGCTGTGGGAAGAAAGGTCTGCCCGTCGCCGCACTCGTCGCCGCGATCACGGCTACGGATGATGATTTCAGCTCCGCCGCTCCTCGGATCCAAGGACGGCAGGCCTCCCGTCGAGTGCGATCTCGCCGTCACGGATGCAAGGACGGCTTTCCATGAACAGTTAGCGAGAATTGCTTGAAACTGGCTAAGGCACCCCCTGGGCCAAAGTGCTCACAACCGCATTGATCTGAAACCCGACTTGGGTCCCACTTAGCTGCATGTCTTGTGCTCGTTCCGCTGCGGCCGGGACATCCACAAGTCCATCACGCTCGCACTCCGTCGAAGCTTGACGTCGCATGGAATAGTAGAAGTCGTGCTTCGTCCACATGACGTTCAGGATGCATCGACCTACCTTTATAGCCTCCGGCGATAGTCTTTTGCTTGGTTCAATTATGTGGTCAGGAACCTGGAACAAAGACTGTAAAGGCGCAAGAGTTGCGAGGCCTGCAGACTTCGTGGGGTAAAGGAGTGGCCTGAAGAAGTTTTGGCAGGTCTTGGGATTCAAGGTGAAGGCTCAGGGTTTCACTAGCCGTGTGGGGGAAGTTCAGCGTTGTCGAAGTCAAGAGGCTCCCCGTCAGCCTGATAGCACCGGCATAGCGCCTGCTCGCAAGGCGGCTCTTTGCAGAGGAGGGTTTCTTGGGTTGGGGTTTACGGCAAGAGCCCTTCGTCAAGCAAGGTGCATTCTATCTACATACCCCTTTCGTGAGAACCCGTTGCAGTGGAGGTCTCTGTGTTCAGACCGAACATCCCTTCATCCCTAGAGCACACAGTTCCACGACGTGACATCAAGGCTCACAAGTCAACAATTGAAACCGTGGACATCTTCAAAATACGAGTCCACGATACCAAAACACAAAGCTCCTGTAATCCCTGTACACGAAACACTGACCCTTGTCCCAACACAAGCCTATGTCATCACTTGCACCAGAACTTGAAATCTAAAGGAGGGCTACTTAGGTTCCTCTAAGGATGCGAACTGCCCAGGCTGTAGTTGCAACATTGACCGAACGGCGCTTTGCGGCCTGCACCCGAAAGCCTATAAGCCAATCGTTTAGGCTTCAAGGATTGGGGAAACATAAATCATCTAGTGTCGATCGTGGAAGGGTCGCTGCTAGCGAGATCAAAGCCGATGTACTTGACTAGGGTTTCGGGCTGCTTTCTTCTTGAAATGAGGGAGCGCTAAGGATACTATACTACCAGCACTCAATGTCTCACATTACAGATCACGGTTGCAGGGCCTGGGGTGTTCGGGAGGCCCGACAGGACGTCAAGCCTGAACCTCATGAAACCTCAACCACATTGACCCGAAAGCGTGAAGCGCGTAAAGCCCTACACCCTAACACCACAGCCCTGCTAAACCCTACGCTTACAAAGCTGAAGCCCTCGACCCTCAGCATTGCCCCTCAGCATTTCCCCCCGGGCCTCAACGCCAGCTCATTCGTTGCAGGTGCAAACGGCACTGCACCCAAAATGGCAGCATCGGCGTGTACGGATTCAGCTTGTTGATTGAAAGACATAGGGTTCAGGAACTCGGCCCGAGATCCTCCAAACCATACCAGAAACAAGGTCAACAAGCCCACAAACACGTGAATCTTGCCTTCCAAGCCCAAACCCCGCAACCCTAGAGCAAAGAGGCAATCGACACAAGCATCCCGCCCTGGTACCCACAGGCAAGAAGGGCGGCTTTTAAGAATAGATCTTAGGCATGTGTGCCGAAGACGAGATTTTGAATGCATCCCAAAGTCAGGCCCCTGAACCCGAGGACCTGATATCCCCAAACCCTGGAGGACCCGATAAGCAGAAACCTACGTTGCCCCAATGGCCCTCAAATGAGCAGACCCGTGCCGAGCTCTTTTCACCAAGACCAGGGCAAAGCGATGCAGATCCCGAACGCTGCAGTTAAAACCCTACTGTAACACACATATAGTATATATTATCCCGTCTACAAAATCCTGAACCCTAAAACCCGATATCTTGAAACCACGAACCCCGAGACCCAACGACCAAACCCCAACCCCTAGAGAGCCCAAAACCGCTTTGTTGAGGAATATATAATAAACTGTAAATCCTTCTGTAATATTTGGGTCTGCAACCTCTTAACATCCTTACGGAGCCATTATGGAAACTTTAGAGCACACCGCATAAGCCAATCTTTGTATGAACCCTAAGGAGTGACTTCATCAACCCGCCCTAGGAGAGCACGATATCCCGAGCTCGATCCGGCAGCAGCCACATTAGCCAGGCGAGGACTTGGCACGGGATACCATGCCTCGGACGGACGATATCGAGGCATAGAGATCTGAAAAGGGTTCGTTTAATTTTGGGTTTTGGGAAGGCTGTAACACGGTTCGACTAGGGTGGGCACCAGGATGGGGATTGGGTGCCTGGGAACAAAAGGGTTTGTACCCCTTATTGGTCCATAACGGCTCATAAAGATTGCAGGAGTTTATTGAAAGGGATTTTGGTGAGAATCTAGGGTGTTGAAAGGCTTGCATGCTCTTGCAGAGTTTTGGGTGTTTGTTTGACAGAGCTGGGATTGGGATCGGGTTTGCTGATGGACAATATCCTTCAAGCCTCGACCGGCCCTGAACCAAATGGTACTCGGTGCACAGTGCATCCAACTCCTAAGCATCATCAAAACCTTCAAAAACTCAGCAAAACCGGCAACACCGCTCATTGTGGTAAACCGCATATTCAGGATATTTTAATGCAGGTTCTGTCCATCAGCAGATTCTACTGTTCTGGGCCCTAACATCCTCGAAATGAGAGCTCAGCATGGTGTCCCGAAGCCTACTGACTGAACTGTATAGGGTGGCAGGTTTGTCTGCTTTGGGGTTTACACGGCGCAGGGGTAGCCTTAGCTTTGTGAGCATTGACCGATTTCATCACGACAAACCCATCGACGGGCCCCCGTAACCCGAAAGCTTGCAGTAAAGCGCGGCCCAAGTTGCACGTTTGCAACTACGTACCGTGTTTGCGGATACTCGGAGCGGAGAGCATGGCGTATGGCCTCCACGGACTTGAAAGAGAAGGCTCGGTGACGTTTCGGTCTTCTGGGCCAAGGCCGCCCTGCTCTGAGGACCCTTCATGATAGAACACAGCAGCTAGGTACCGCGCAATGAGATTCGGGTGGGCGTGCTGGGACTTGCGTTCTCATCGCATAATCAGGATGCCACGAGTTTTGATCAGATTTCCGATGGTTTGAGGTTTCTGCCGGAACTTCCACTTCCTGAATGGTACCTTAAAGCTCCGGCGAAGCCATAGCTAGACTCAGAACCGCACTTATGGCCAATGTGCGGGTGCTGTCTACGGCGGGCTGGGGAATATTGAAAAGCATGTGCAAAGTGGCAAACATTTCAACATGCCTGGTTTCCTGTGTGCATGGAGACCCAAATCACGTAATTCTGACTACAAAGACCAGTGATGTCGGAAGCCCGATCCCACCCCTCCCAAACTGAATGGAAGCATCCCGTAAGTGCATGAAGAATGCACATCTTGACGAAAGCTCAGGCACGTTCCCTTCAAGGCGTATCTTCAAGCGGCAGCTTTGCGTTGAGCAATTCCCAGGTGTTGCTGCTCTGATGGTTTAGCATGGTTTAGCGGGAAGGGTGTACGTACCGTGCCAGATTGACATGACGGTGCAGAATCACCCGAACTTGAAGAGCGGTTCTGGGATTGCTGGCAACCCTATACTCGAAGACACATGAAACCTGGACCCAAGTCAGCTCAGGTTAGGTGCACGGCAGACGACTCAAAGCCTCATAGGCGACAGTGTCCCAAGAGATGCAAGCCCTGCGTCACTTCAAAACCCCGAAGCCGCAAACACCGAGCCCGAACTCAATGCCCGAACACGCGCCCCAAGACAAAACACACGCTAAATCCCAAATATCCCTGTCATGACACCCCTTTTTTGTGAATTGCTCCTGAAAACGCCGTTGCACGCCTCGGTCGTTACCTCGGCTCCATCCGCTTTGGCTTCGCGATCTCGCCGCTGGTCCTGGAGCTGAAGCGCATTAGACAATCGTCGGTTCGCAAGTCAAGGCTTTTTGGGGTTTGGGGTCTAGGATTTGGATTCTGGGATTTGGGGTTTGGCGTGTTTGAATGTGAACTCCAACTAAGTCCTTCTTACAAGGACCCTGCCGAACGGAAGCTGTGTGTCTCAAAAACCCATATGAAGCCTGCCCCCCACTTAGACTTTGGGGGTGGGCTCTTCCATTGTCAGGCGGGAAAACGCGACTGCTGGTGGGCGGTTTGGGGAGCGCAGGGTATGCGCGAGTACTCGGAGTGCAGTCGCCCATCGCGTCCGCAATGGGCTCTTCGGAGTCCTCGGTGGGATCCGAAGGTATCGGAACCCAACAAGGCACCTAAACATCAACAGTTGCTGAAGGAAAAAACACCATTACAAGGGAAACCTCATCCTTGTAATTTTGACGAAGCAAGCGTGATGTTTGGTTGGAATACGTGAACAGAAAAATGAATAGCAGCATCTTTCATATAACAAGATACTGTTGAACAACCCCCCCCCCCCGAAGTTCGACTGATGCAACCGAATATTAGTCTGCTTTGCAGGCCTTCGTCCGTGTCCATCGTGTTGTCAGTGCTGGGGGCTACAACATATGCTGCGAGACGTTTAAACCGACAGCTGAGCGAAGGTGCACAGATGACGGAAAGCGCAAAGGGCCCTGAGGAGTGGGGCCTCACGCATTTGCAGCACCTACAGGGGTGGGAAGCAGCATCATGAGCATCGTTGGACTTCCCGGGTCTCACCAGGAATGCTGGAAGAGCTTGGACTTTCAATGCATCAAGACAGGCAGGAGCCAAATTGAGGGACACGGTGCCCCTCACAAGGCCCTGACTCGCCTCTTGGGGGCTGCAGCGGACGGCAGTATGAGCATTGCACAGTGCAGCAAACCGTTCTCAAGCTGACAATTGAGCCCATCTCAGGACACATTTAGATCAGCTCAGGAACAATCTAGCTGGACGGAGTCCAGCTTCTTTGATGACAGGATCTTCCTTTGCCTTTCATGCACTTAATGCAAACATGCGGACTTGAGTGGTTCACCAAGGTTCCTCTTCCTCCTTTGTGCTGGGTTTTTTGCCTCAAGCATCGCAACCACATGCACAATGACTTGCCACAGCGGAAAAGACTTTCTCAATACATGTTCGTTGCTGCACGGCATAATCTACCGTAGCCATCTATCCAGCAAGTGCTCCAAGATGAAACGAGTCGCATGACATTGAGGGCCAGGGCCATACAGCAAAATCATTGAAGCTTCTTCCTGCGTGAAAGCAGGCTATCCGGGAAAGAATAAGCCCAGCATCCCGATGAGGAACTCCCAAGAAAGAGCTGCTGCTAGAAAACAGGTAAAGTTTAAAGTTAAACTTTGAAAGCAGCCTCCAAAAACAGAAGTCTACACAGATTGGTGCCTCGTTAAGGATCCCACACTTTAAGATCGGGCAAAACAGATCTTCCGGGCTCCTACATTCTGTCGGATGGCACCTGCCGCCCGGTTCCTGGACAGGCTTGTTGCTGAAGAGTATAACTTAAGTTACCATATACTTCCCAAACCAAAGAACTCTGTACAACGCAAGCACATGGTCCTCGAAGCGGTCTGCCCAATCGCCCCATTCCGCCTCAGAGCTATGAAGTTTGGCGGCATGCCCTGGCAGTAGCCCCTCTTCTCGATGCTGATGCTGTTGCACATGCACGCAGACACACGCGCACACACACACACTGCCATGCCCAGAACAAAGTACACAAAACTCAAGCGAATAAACCCTAAACCCACAAGGACCGAGTTCGAGTAGCTCCGTCTTTTACCCATCGATGCCGATATGCCTGGAGCTGTGCCTTGTAAGTATTTCTGTACTGGCCAATCCCCAAAAAAGTCCTACGACCGGAAGAAAGCCATATAACCTCTTCAAAGCAAACATGTGGACTTCATGCACACGACCGGCTCTCATCGAAGCTATGCAAAACCCATCCCATTTGTACTGTAGTTGTTGTTCATAACACAACTATGATGTAATATTGTCGGTACAGGTACAGGTACAGGTACAGGTACAGGTACATGTATGTATGTATGTATGTATGTATGTATGTATGTATGTCTGTATGTATGTATGTATGTATGTATGTATGTATGTATGTATGTATGTATGTACGTATGTATGTAGTATGTATGTATNNTATGTATGTATGTATGCATATATGTAGGTATGTATGTATGTATGTATGTATGTATGTATGTATGTACGTATGTATGTATGTATGTGTCTATGGCAGTGTTGTTCTTCTTTTCGTCGTCAGTGTTACCATCAGTGTGGTTTTGATTTTTCCTAATTACTACGACTACGAACATTGTCATTGTTGTCACTATGGTTTAATATGGCTACGCTTGTGACGATCACTACGGTTATTACGATGATTCTGGCTAGCATTGGATGCCACGAAAACCTGCCGGACTTTTCAACCGCCGATTAAGTCTCTGAGTGAGTGTGTTTCCCAACGGAAGCAACTGCGAGCGCCTCTCAGAGCGGTCCGACTGCTAAGAAATACATCACAGATCAGAAAAGCGGCACCTTGAGGTGAGTTGTGATTCTGTTCACGTCCAACGCCCATCGAGCCGACGGGCACCTTAAACGTGGCTGTGGCATCACTGTTCACGTCCAACGCCCATCGAGCCGTCGGGCACCTGGCTGCGGCATCACGAGGGAGAGCGAAGCATGCCGAACTCGTCATGGTGGATGTCTTCCTTTGACTCATAGGTCTCGCATTTGATGTCGAAGCGCTCCATGGTCTTGTAGCCGAAACGTTCATAGATGGCCACGTTTCTCTCGCCCGAAGTCTCCAGCCAAAGGGGCAGGTGTCGGCTATCCGCCCAAGCGTTCACAAATCGCATCAACTTTCCACAGAAACCCATTCCTTGTGCAATCGGATCCACTGCCACAACCTTCACATGGGCATGAGGACCCTTACAATACCTGCTCTTCACCTCTTCGATGGCGTCTTGACCTGCAAAAGCTCTGGTTTTCATTGCCCAGAAGGCTTCGCCTACATCGCTCTTGGGTGGCAAGCCTCCTGCCCAGAAGGCTCGCACCTGTTCGAGGTGGCTCATGAGCTCTGAAGGGACACCCTCCGAGTATATAGCCACAAGCACCACAGCCCCGATGCTGCCATCCGGTTTCAGCCCAGCTACTGCGAAGCCACCGTGAGCAGCGACCATGGACCATTCCATCCTCATCATCCAATCGAAGATGCTCTTGCGCCTGGGGTCATCCCATTTCTCCTTTAGGGATGCCCCGATGACCCAATCCATTGTACCCTCAGGAGCCGTGGTCGCCGTTCCACAGAAAGATCGGGACATCACCGCAATGGCTTCTCCGCTCTCTTCGATGGACTCCGAGATGGAACCGTAAGTCTTGTGACCCAAAACCTGCTTCATGCCAGGACCGACCTCCATCTCGACCTGCGAAACCTGGCTGCCCATGGCGAGGGAGGCGCGAGCTTCCCTAGGGGAAGAGGACCTGCTGCGCACGGCCGTGGCTGCGGAAGGCCCTGCACCTGGCCCGCTATGTTTCAGGCCATCTCTGAATGCAGGGATTAGGATGAGAGCGTGTGCTTCAGAACTTGGGGTCTCGGCTAGACTGTAGCAGCCCCCCGTGCTCGGATCTCCCCATTGAAGCTGAGGCACACGGAAGCCTTCCAGGTCCTCACGGAGAGGATCCGCTTTGGGACTTTGGAGTGCCCCGGCGATCAACAAAAAGGACACTTTGAGAGAGAGAGAGAGAGAAATAAATTTGACCCCAAAAGCAACATGATACTCTTCAAAACAAAAACACACGGAAAAGACTCTGGCCCTAAGACCCTCTGACCACCCTCGCAAAGGTCAAAGCACGGACGGCGGAGATGACAACAGCAGCAAGAACACAGCTGAAACCCAGATTTTCCATGATTACGCCATCAGGGTCTCAAGCTCGGCTCCAAAGTCTATACGGCACAATGCCCAAGGACGAGTTGATATCGTCAGCACTCATAACTGCTCAGGCCCTTCCATCACTGGAAACAGAGACCACTCACACCTGGACAGCCCTTCACAACGGCCCCAGGGAACAGCAAAACAAAAAGCATGCAAAAGTCTCAGGCCCCGTAAACCGGAGACTAAACCCTTCATCCTAAACCTCGGCGTCTGAATCCCTACATCGTACAAGTACACTTCAACCTGGAGGACACCTGATGGAAAGACCTCAAAAGCTGCACTGGCAAACTTCTACCATCCTCGGCTCGGCGCCAAGCAGCGTTGCCGCCTGAGATCCTTCAGGAGCGTGAAAGCCGGCTTGGGGCTTCTTTGGCCCAGGTTCAGAGCTTCTTTGGATTGTGTCACCTGCTGCGGTTGGGGCCTAAAGACCCCGTCACAGGTCGACTTGGGGTTCAGGGCCGGGGCGATCTCAACTTGACGAGTTGGGGGGGCACTTTGTGAACTGAAAGCTCGGTCGCTGGTGTAGTATTGAGGATGCGCTGGGGGGTCGTGAGGCTTGAGTTTATCACGGGAGTATTCTCTTGGGGTTCAAAGGTTTCCAGCGTTTCAGTCTTGGGGTCTGCCCCCTTGGAGTGTCAAGACCTTGGGAAACAACTAGGGTCTCGGTACAAAGGCCTTCGACTTCCGGAGCTTGCTTTGCTACACTTTTGTAACAACCTCTTCCAAGAATGCCTTCTTCCAATAGCCACCAATAACGGGACCCAAAGCGCCAAGACTAAAGCAAACCATCAACATGCTTCGGGCCACACCCCACGAAGTGCTTTCATCGAGAAGCTTGCCATGTAGTGCCGAGTGGACCATGCCAGGCTTGAGAAGGCTTACCTGGAAGCTCTACGAAACGGGCTGTCGGGCTTTAGGCTTTCGGGAGGAGTCCGGCTTAATATTAATTCGGTGTTCAAGGCGTAGGTCTCTATAGGCTTAACAGCCTGGGGTGTGGACCTGAGTGTTTCAAAGAAATGTACCGGGCCTATACGACAACTTGCTTCACACGGTCAGGTATGCCAACAGGAGTCCAAGGCCACAGGTACGATCGCAAGTATAATTCTGCCAATTGGGGTTCTACGACTCTTCCAAACCACATCCAACGACACAGTTCTTTACCTTCGATGATTCTTAAAGATTTAAACATGCTAAGTCTCTTGACATCGGTGGCCTCGACCTTTCTCTTGCGAGTGTTGAACTTGTGATGATTGAAGAAACCTCTAAAGACTCTAAAGCCTACGACCGAAAAACGACGTGTTTGGATTCTTCGGCTTTGGGGCCGGGCGAACGGCGGCACCGAATTCGGCAGGAATATGACACCAAGCTAGGATTGCAGGTTTCAGGGTTCAGGGATAAGGGTTTGGAAGCTTAAACCGGCAATCACAAACTACGACAAACCTCAAGCCCTGCATCCGAAAGTCCGTCAAGGACCAAATCCTACAGTCCAAACCCACATGCAGGCATGTATACCTAGCATTCCCTATCATCCTCGGGTATTTGCATGTTGTCCTGCGTCTAAGTACCTATATAGCATATATATATATATATATATATATATGAAGCCTGTGAGGTTTAGACCCCCATAAAGGCCACCCACATGCAGAGAAGCCTAGAAGCACAAGGCACCCTGAGCCCATAATCAAACATCCGACCAGGCGCCGACATGTTGTAGCGCGCAAGCTCCAACCTTCAGGTCGCCAAGCCCTAGATTTAAGGCGAGTATGGGCGTGTCGGGCTCATGATATCAGGGCTTTTGTGTTCCATGGTCGAAAGCTTTTGGGTTTCAAGTCTTTGGCTGTTCATAAACTGGAATTGTCGAGTTTCCTGACTCAGAAAAGCTTGAACTTATCATACGTTTGTGTGCCAATACCTCAAGAACCGTCTGAGATCGGCCATTCATGTTTAGCCCCTGCATCTTAATTGAAGGTCTATGGTGTCTTCTATGATTCGTTTCAGGGTGTAGGGTCTTGGGGTCTTTGGCGCTAGGCTTTACGGCAGGCGTGGAGGCTACTATTGAACGAACTTTACAGCCTGAATTCTGAGACTTAGCAATATCTGATACTCATCGAGACTCCAAGAATAAGGAACAGGATTGCCAAGCATTCAAACCCCTACAGATCAAGCGGCATAATAGGGTTCCCGATTCAGGCTTGACAAGCAAGAATGTCCGGTCTGAGGATACCTGCGTCCCGGAAGTCTACAGACGATTGGCAAGCATGAGAACTTGCTGTAGACTGCTGGCAACAGCGGCAAGGTACTGGTATCTATCTGGTTACCAGAGAGTGGAGTTATTAAGTAATGTAGCGGCCTAGATTGGAAAGCGGGGTTTTTAAGTGAATTGTATAACATCATGGATACACAGGAATTTCTCTATTTAGGCTCATACCAATGCAGGTTTGGGGTAAAAACATGTAAAGCCGAAGTTGAAAACGTAGTGCAACATTATGTTAATTTAATGCTAATTTATACCCCCGAACCCACGTAGAGTTCTCACAGGACTCCCGAGAGAGCAGGACAAACTCAAAGCCTCCCGGTGAAGACGTTCCTCCCTCGGAGCAGTCCCTCCCCTACTGCGGGTTTCAAGGTACCGCTAGGCAGCCATGAAAGCTTGGAGGCTCATGGCTAATTATATGAGTATCTGCACTGGGGTCGCGGCCACATGGGTACTATAGCCCACCCCGGGGGAACCCATGAACCTTCAAACACTATCGACGACTGCGAGACAGGAGCCATCTTGTTCTCCTCACGCGCCCACTGTACACTGTACAAACTGCTTTAGGATCTAAGCTTGACGGTGTTTTGAGCTTGCGGTGGGAATAAGTGGTGAATGACATTTTCTTTCAAGACATCCCCGGCTTTCTGCAGTGGTAGAATCGGAACTGTAGCCCAGCGCGGTCAACCTCGTCTCCAGTCCTCACAGTTTTCAGCTCCTCTTTCTCAAGGGCAAAGCCCGCCTTCTGCAAGAGCTCCAGAGTCTGCTCCCGAGGGTACGAGGACCAGACCATGGTGGCTCCCAAGAAGTCGGACTCTAGGCCTGGGTTCCCTCTTCCGACTTAGGGCTACTGGGGTTGGGCGGTTTGGGCTTTAGGGTTTACAAAAAGCTCCGGGTATAGGGTGGTTGTTACTAAGGAGCCCAGGTTATTTACGAAGTACGTTGCCAGTATAGGCACATGTGATGTGATAAGCCCTAGTGGTTCCGGTAAGCCCTAAAGTTTCCCATTATGGTAGCTACTACAAATCTCCTCCATTGCGATTCAGTTCAAAGTTTCTCAACAGCAACCCAGAAGCCGCACTCACCCTCGCCATCCTCGAGACCAGAGCCCAGGTTAAAGACAAAGCGGCCTCCGGGACGCAGCCAAGAAGCCACGCGGACGAAGAAGGCCGCATGGTCGCGGCGTGGCAGGTGGAAGACAGAGAAGAAAGCGCAGATTGCGTCGAAGCTCTCCTTTTCAAAGTCCATCGAGGCCATGTCGCTGCAGAGGAAAGTAGCTCTATCTGATGGCACCAGCTTCTTTGCCAACTCGATTTGGCGCTGTGAGATATCCACACCTGTCACTGCTTCACGGATATGGCTGTGCCGGCTGCGGCCATAAAACTGGCTTCGGGGCTTCGGGAATACGGATACAGTATCTGGCTGTGCCGGCTGGGCTTCGGGGCTGCAAAGCACAATGCGGACCGCACCTGTCACTGACATGTCCCGTGGATCCTCCACTACAGCCTTGGCCACAGGCACGCCAGCGCCGCACCCCGCGTCCAGGATGCGGGCTCCCCTGGGCATCTCGGCAAACAGCTCCCGGAAAGCTTGGAGTCGCATGTCGTCCGGGTCGTCCACTGCGTGCTGGCTCAGGTAAGCATCCGCGCACTGGTTGTATCCATCTGCCACCAGCTTTCGGAACAGCGCCCCATCAGCTGCGGCATGGCTCTCAAGCTCTTTGGGGCTGCCCGCCATTGCGCTAGGATGTCCGAATTTCAGAAAGCAACATGAAAGTCTCATTTTTCTTGCCTGATGTATGACAGGCCCTACTGGGAACATGGCAACTAATTTGCCTCACATACTGTGAACATGTGCGCTGTTCGAGAAACTCCTTTATGTTACCGGTGACGTTACAGACACAGGAAACATGACTCGAGCTTCCTGCGACTTCGCTACTCCTTGCCCCACTCATCGCAGAAGAACCCTTACATAATCCTCAAGACGGATCCATGTCATCCGACGCCGTACAGTAAACCCCCACACCCGAACACCCGAAAGCAGGGCCCTGGATCCCAGACAAGCCCCATGAAATTCCCTGTTTCCACCCTGAGGTTATCCAACCTCAGCACATCGCTAATAGACTCCAGGGCGTTCTTGGATCCTGCGTAGCCTTCGGTTTTGGGCTTAGGATTGAATTCCGAGGGATCGCTGAAAAGGATGTGACTCGGGCTTTACAAAGGTTTGGCAAGGTTTAATATACGGCTGAGCATAGCAGTAAGTTTCTACTTTTCGAGCATTGACTAGCGAATCTGGCAGGTGGCAGGCACTCACATGACATCTTAAGCTGTCATGGGCTTACAGCTTGAGAAAAACAAGAGCTTGACGGCTAGTGCAGGATTTAGGACTGAAGCGTTTAGGGTTGGGTTTTTTTCAGGATTCGGGTGTAGGGGCGATGATACAGATTTTGTTCAGGGTATGAAGCGATGAGCGATGATGCCTGTGACCGTGCCTCGCACAATGAATCCGGTTCCTACTTGCTCGGCCCCTGAACTGGAGACGCTGGCTTGCAGGTTTCGGGTCTGCTTCTTTCCGGGACGGTCTTCGTGCTGTGCTGATGATGCTTTTCAGAATCACCAAATGTGAGCGGGCAGCTACTGTAGCCGCTGGTTGGCAGAGTCGGTGCCACAGATCCCACGTTGACCACGCGGCCCGCACCGCTGGCACGGAGGAGGGGCAAGAAGGCCTGGTCAGACTGTCAGAAGCTGAAAAAGTAGCATCCCTACAACCTGAACGTCAAGGCCTGGTTATTTCCCTTTTTGGAAGCCCAAGACAACCAAGGTCCGAAGATGGAGGAGCTGAGGATTCGGGCTTGGGGCTCAGGGATGAGGATCAAAACGACTTCTTAAGATCCGCAAACATGAAGAGCTAACAAGTAAAGCTTAAGGGTGCAGGATCTGGGATCAGGGCATAAGCACACATAAATTGTAATCAAACAAAACAATCAAGCCCTGTTTATGGTAAACCCTAAGAGACACGCTATCTGTCCCTGTTTATCCGAAACCCTCACGTATTAGCCTCGAATGTGCCTTCATTACTTCCGACATCCCAAACACTGCAGTGAACATGCCCTAAGCCTTACTTTGCACGCACTCTTAGGACGCTTGTTGTCCAAGTGCCTGGGTCACGCGGTAAACGCCGAAGACGTTCACGTTGTACAGCGCCATGACTTCCTCTTCCGAAGTTCGCTAACCTAATAGGTTCGAAAGACGGGGATTAGGTTTACGGGCCAGTGAATGTTGCGAAGACTGGAATCATGGTCGAAGGTTGTATAGTGACCCGCATCGACTAAAAGCTTCGGATGTGGTCAGGGGTGTGGGGATTTCCAAGACTAGGGCACCCCAATTTAAAGCCCGCAGGATCCTTGAAACACGATTTACACCCCCAAAAGACTCTAGGGCAAGGATCCACCCTCGGCCTCAACCACCATGAATTCGGGATTTGGGGCTTGGGCGTTTACATAGGGGTTAAGGATTTGGGATGTGGGGTGTCGGGTCTCGAATCGAGATTGTTTTGATTGGGGTTTCAAAGGTGGCTTCGGGGGATAACTACCAAGGTGGATGTGAAAGACTTAGGCCCTAAAGCCCCATGCGCTCATCATCACAATCTCCGCCTCAATTGCCAAACGGGCTGTTGGCCAGAGATATCCAGTGTTGAGAAGCATCAAGGAGCGGTGGGTGTATTTTAAGGCACCACATCATCAGGCTGTATCCCCTACGGCAACTCCGTTGCCTTGACACTGGCGCAGTGGGTTTAGGGTTTAAGGTATAACGCAGTAAGGTTTGTAGTTTAAGGGTTTAGGGCAACCTAGGGTTCCCTCCCTAACCCCTTAAGCGTTCAGACCCACAGTCTTCAACCTGATTCGAGACACAGTCCAGAACTAGGAAATGAATGAACTCTCAAGCCCCACAGCCCTAAATGTCATAGTCGGCTGCAAGGCTGCCTTTTTCAGCTCGCCAAGTTATGCATCAAATCAGCTATGCGCAGATCTTTGCATATTCCGGGTGCTGCCGACGCATCGGCAATTGCATAGATGGTCTCAGGGCCACAAAGCTCTATAGTATTATTGTAGTACGATTATGATACGACTTGTTTTATGGTATTCTTAGACTACTAATAAAGTAGTATTATAGAATAGAATAGTATATCTATCATTACCAGAAAGCCTTTCTTGCGTGGTCCTCCAATTTCTCGTACTCGAAGATGAGGTGTCGGGAGACTCCAGCATTGTTGACTAAGCCGACCAACTTCCTGGGTTTGGGGTTTGGGGACATCGTCTGGCTCGTTTCCCGACAATGCAGGATTCCTATAGCATCCTAGGTGGCTCGGCAGTGATTCGGACTGGATATATCTCACACTACGTGGCATAGAAACATTTATATATACACAATAGTACTCATGCTAAAGGAGCAAGGAAGAGGAAGGATCTGGTACGGATTTTAGGAAGAGTAGGACGACCGTCAGAATCCTGAACCCGAACCCGAACTCTCAATCCCTAGAGCGCTGACTTCTGCCGGCAGCTGTCAGGCCTTTAGCATCCAGCACGGCAGCGATCTCGTCACGAGCCGTGCGGACCTGAAGGAAGCCCACTTAAATTTCAACTGCAGGGTTTGTGAGTTCACCGTTTACAGCAGTGTACTTTAGCTGTTGGATCTGTAAGATTGATCAGGATTCTAGAGTGTTGCAAAGAGCAGCCCATATGCGAGTGGTTCTCCCTGGAAGGTACCTGTAGTAACCACCCAAACCCGAACACCGCACGAGCCCGAGCCTCGATAAACTTCGACACCAAGGTGGACCCTCTCAGGAAGGGCGCCTGCTCCATGTCGGTCACATCCAAGACGACCGGCTGCAGCATGGGGTGGCTCTGCTTCAACCGATCCTCAGCGAAGTTTAGGCTTCATAGCTCCTACTTTGACGCTGTTGTGATTTAAGCGAGTCTACCTGCATGCTCTGTGATTCCTTTTGGGTTTCGGTTAAGTTCGAACCACATGACTGACTAGCGAGAAAAGCTCCTGCACACATGGGTCAGTGTGGCTTCGGACGTTTCTGTTTGAGTGTAGGTTTATAGGTTCTGCCCTGAACCCTTACCCCCGTTTGGGTGTAAGTGTAAGGGGTTGAGGCTTCTAGAACCGACAGCAGCGCACAAGTCTGGAGCCATGATGTACCAGGTTGCGCGCATGTCTCTGCAACTGCGCAAGCTTCGCCTCGAGGCTTCGGCCCTTACACGTATTCTTTCAAGGTTAAGTCAATGTCTTTTCTGAGGGTGAGCACGCACTCAACAACCCCTAAACTCGAGGACCCCAAGAGTCTCAAAACCTACACCGTGGCCTACACCCTAGCACCCCAAGCGAAAGCACGAGTGACTAAAATACGTCAGCCAGTCACATGAAAGGCTTCGAACCCTATACTATACTATACCTCTGCACCGAGACTCGGCATCCGGCGCTGAGCGGACGCCGGCGAAGACCAGGACCTAGCAACGACGTGGGAGCCACGACTTTGACAGGTACGGCTTCTAAAGCGCGTGGGGCTGTGTGACCCAGCTTGATCTGGGAGTTCCATAAGGCCGTGAACTCAATCCGCTCTTAACGGGCAAAGGACATGAGGTTTGTGCTTCTTCGGCTCGCCATCATTGAAACTAGAAGACGAGTGGCCCGAAAGCATCATTAGCCATGAGTTTTGGAGCTATGTAATTGGAGACTATGTAACGTCACGGGGTCGAGTGTATAAAGTCTTAGAGGGCAGTGCGTGGAGTCAAGTACATAGAGT